CTCTCTCTCTCTCTCTCTCTCTCTCTCTCTCTCTCTCTCTCTCTCTCTCTCTCTCTCTCTCTCTCTCTCTCCGGAACTCACAGGGGGGGGGGGTTGTTTCCTGTTGTCGGAGGGAGTGGTGGCTTAAAGCGCCTCCTCATCTTTTTCGACACATCACTGTGCGAAAGGATGATTGCGAATTAATTGGTAGTTTAAGATTCTCTCCTCTATCTTAACTGAAGGGAATTTATGACTCGCTTAGAATGCCTCCTCACCTCTTACGACTACCGCTTTTAAATTCAGAACCAACCGTTGTCGCACCCTCACAATAACGCTGGCGTTACCTTCACATCCATTATCGGACCATCAAAGCATCTGTAGACGTGGTCGCTTTTAGTCTTTCGCAATTTCCGACGCCTTAACATCTCGGTAAAAGGGGTGCACGACACCTTAACGTATTGCTATGAGGGTTGCAAAAACTTTTGATGTGCAGTCGTCGTCGTCGCTGTTGCGATTCCCGATGCCCAAACCTTTTTGCTAAAAGGGGTCGACAATGGGTATGTCATGAGTGAGCGAATCCAGTTGCAATCTCATATAAGCGGTGATGACCGTTAATAAGTGTTGGCATCTTTAGCGTGAGTTTTCACTCGCCTTTATGTTGCGTCGGATGTTAGAGTTTGAAAATATATAACACCTTACCCCTGCGCATTGATTTCATTTCGCTCTCAACTGCCGTATTGACGGATAAAGATGCAGTGTCACCGGAATTGCTAAGATTCACATCTGCGAAAGTGGGAACTGTACGATGCATCACATTTGTCAAGCTTAGTGCAGGCAAGGTCCTTAGAGTCTTATATAAGGAATTTTTCCGACTTTGGAATTGTGTCCTCCTTCAGCTTCGCTGACAGTCGTTACTATCCCGCTTACAGCGCCTCCTGGCCTCTTCCAATGACTCCATGTGTGGCATTTCTATGCCGCTTACAGCCCCTACTCACCTCTTCCTTCGACTAAGTGTGCGAAAGCATTTGGGAATTAATTTGTAGTTTAAAATTTCATCCTCTACCTTTGCTCGCTGAGATTAATGACCCGCTTAGAGCGTCCATTTTTTTACGTCTGTGACGCTGTCCAGCGCATCGGTCCAGGGGACCCTCCCGGCCGCGTCACGCAGGAGTTGGTCTTAATCCTCGTCACGAATACATATGGACCTTCCACAAACCGCTCCGGCCGAGTGCGCCAGCCATACATCTCGCGAACCCCTACGACAGGATATTGTACGGCTGAAGGAACAGTCGTGCGGCCCCTGCGACACCTCAGGCCTTTAGGCCGTGTGTCTCGGTGGGCAGGGCAAGTACGCTCTGTGCGGGCGGTAATCCCTTCCACGTAAAGTCTAGGACCTGGGATGTTCTGGACTACAACCTCGAATCTAG